CACGTTGCATCAACCGTGTGCACATTAAGAGCCATAGCAGCCACCTTTTTGTCAGGCCTGGACTGTCCAGTGCTGGGATTTGTTTGTGAAAATCTGGAAATGGTAGCCATCTTCACCATGTGGGAATAAGATTGGGTACAGGAGTGCACTGTATGCCCTGTTAGTCTCAAGCACTTGTTTGCACGGGCCTCTGCGTGCCTTGCTGGGTGGGCATTGGGCTGCTCGCACAGTTGTGCAGTGCACAGGGCTTTCCACTGCTTGCACGGGCTGCGCCCAAATGTGAGCACCAGAGCTCTGCACGGTGGCTTGATTTCAAAGCAGATACTGAGAGAGGGAGGGGAGGGCAAGGTGACCATGGCATGATTGCTGGTTTCACTGCGTATTTGTGTTGCTGGCCTGCTCGTTCCCTGCACACTGAATGGTGTTATGTTCTCCACAATCAATGTGTAGAAAACTTTTATTCTCAGCTCACAAGTTACAAACAATCCAACCAAAAACCCTCTCATCAGTTCTCCCTGCTTCTTGCTTTTCTATGTCCTGATGCCTTTCATCGGTCCTGGTTAATTAGTCCTTGATTTCTTAAAGGGTATCCAACAGATGGTTTGTGCTGAAAAAAGGCTGACTACTTAGTCATCGGGTTGTTAATGAACATCACTTCCGGTGTGTGGTAATACAGCGAATGATGTCAGAATGACCTGATGCCCTAAAAGTAGGCCTCAGTGTGCAGGAAACTAATATGGTAAACTTCTGGAATATTAGATCACCATTGTTATAATATAATAATCCTTGCATTTTGATATAGCGCTTTTCACCTCTTCTCAATGTCTCAAAGCGCTTCACAGCACAGAATAGACTGTAAAGTGAATTGACCATATATTTGTGGGCGAAACTTGGTAACCAATGTCCACAAACAGCAGTGTCCCACAAACAGTCGTGGATTGAAAATGACTAATTTATTATTGTTTTGTTTTTGGAAGGATTATTAGGCGTGTGGAATAAGGAAACTTGCCCAAGGTTTCGCCCTGCCTGGAATTGAACCCAGGTGTCTCGCTTGCAAGGCGAGTGCTCTAACCACTGAGCTACAGGACTCCTGTTCACTGCATATGTGAAGCTACAGGAAATTATGTCAGTGCAGACCTAATGATCCAGAAGTGAACCATTTTAGTGTGAGAACCAGACAATTAGAAAGAGAGTGAGCCAAATACAATTTACATTTATATAGCACCATTCAGATCAGAAAGATGCCTCAAAGCACTTCTCAGTGCTGCATGGACACCAGAATTGGGGGTGGGAACCAAGGAGGTGGGAAGAATAAGGTTGACCGAAAACACAGTCAAATGCACACATGCGCAGCAACTAAAGCCCAGATACAACCGAATATAAGACAAATCTATAAGGAAGTTAATTATAATGGGGCTACACAGAAATATATGAGGCCCACACCAGAGGACCTTTGTTCTTCAGAATAAGGGAAATGGTTGCATTTCTTCAAGTATCTGGCATAAAGACTGTTTCATTAATATGGTGAATGGCATTCACTGAAAGAGGAGCCAAATCATAGAAGTCAGCTGGAAAGTCATCCTACCCAGCCATGCTTAGGTTTAAGTGCTAGAATAGCTTGTTTGGTTTGTTGCTTGAAAAGGCATAAGGCATTGAATACTATGGCTTGTCACCATGCTCATCATAAATTTACATTGGCGAAGCAAATTTGTCATTCATGAGAACACAGAAGGGAGTTAAGCTTCCCCTTGGCGCCTTGTCAGTTTTATGTATCTTTGGGTCCATTTTGCCTTGCATACACTCAGGCCGCCAAATTCATTCTTCCAATTGTTTTTGAAAGACAAGAGCAAATGCTTTTATTGAAAAATGACAAAATTTCATTTGTAAAGTGCTTTTCACATCGGGAGGACGTTCCAAGACGTTGGACAGACAGTTACAGACCCAAGCTGAGGGTAGGGGTGGGGGAGGGTGCAGGGAGATTAAAAGCACGGTCGAAGAGGAGGATCTTGAGATGGGTCTTGAAGGTGGTGAGGGAGGGGGCAAGACAAAGGGACTGCGGGATAGAGTTGCAGAGAGTGGGAGCAGAGTGACGGAAGGCCTGCCCGCCAATAGTGGAGTGGGCAAGGCGGGGAACGTGAAGCAGGCTGGAGCCTGCTGAGCGGAGGGAGTGAACAGGATGGTAGGGGGTTAGGAGGTCACAGAGGTAGGGGGGGAGCAAGACTGTGGAGGGCTTTGAAGGTGAGGACCAGGCTCTTGAACTGTATCCTCTGTGTGATGGGAAGCCAGTGGAGTTGGGCAAGGATGGGGGCAATAGGGTTGCGGAGCCTAGTGCGGGAGAGGACACGGGCTGCAGAGTTCTGGATGATCTGCATCTTGTGGAGGGAGGAGTTGGGGAGGCTGGCAAGCAAAGACAAAAAAAACACACTGAAGTAACTGTTGATCGACACAAAGAGTCAGCGGATAACATTCCTGACATTCCATTGAAGTGCTTATACTTTATTAATAAACAATTCAACCTGTTAAAACTTCTGTCAAACTTTTTTTTGGTCAGCTAGGTTTGACACATGCAGAAACCCATCACCATGCTTAAGAGTATCAAACTAAACTGAGAATTCCATGCATCCCACTTGCACATGGAAATTCCAGAGAGAGATTTTTGGAATGGAATGCACACTCTTCCCCCTGGAGGGATGCGTCCTGTTTACTTAATTCCGGAAAGCATTTGGTGCAGGTTGGCAAGAGCCAAGGCTTGGGAATCCTGTCAAAGTAACCTAAGTAACAATTATAACAAATGCAAAACACACAAAGAAAGATTTGTTTTTTTTTAACTCACAAACAAAACAGAAAGCTGAGGATGTTAATCCTGCTTGAGAAAAATGAACTACTATTCCAACTCAGGCAGAAAGACTCATAAAGGGCATCTAGCATGCCTAAAGTGACATTTGGTGGTAACTTAGATAGAAGTTGACCATTTTAACGTGCTGTAAAGAGGCCGCATTTTAGTTAGCAAAAATAGGAGACGCATATACTCTAAGGACAAGAAAGAACTTGCAGAAAGGGAAACAAACAGAAATCTCCCAACCCAGCCAATAGTATTATTGTGAATGTTAACTGAGATTCTTGTTTTTCTCTTGTATTTTATAGTGGGTGGGGGGGGGGGGTTCTGTCGTGAACATGAGGTTTAGCAGGTTTCAGAGTGTTGTTGATCCATCACTCACCATTTCAAAACAATGTGAGGCAGCAATAAACAAGGCAATCATAATGCCAAATCAGTCATGTTTGGATTCCCAGAAGTTATGTTGAACCTGCTTTGGTCTAACTGCACTTGGAATACTGCACATACATCAGTTAGGGTTGTCATAACATAAGGAAGTTTTTCAGGCTCTAGAGGCAACAAGGAGGACTAACAAAGATAATAAAGTATTTGCCTTTGATACAGCGCCTTATTAGTGTTACGAGATGTCAAAATGCTTTGCAGAATTGTATATCTGAAGGAAAATATTGATCCCAAGGTTAGATGTGTTCTTAGAACCAATATCATAAGCTGGGGCTTCAGCCTTGAAAAGTGATGGCTCAAAGGAAAGCTGAGGGCCAAACAAAACGCCAAGATGGCACACTGACCCCATGAGCTGAAGCGGCCACCAGAGGAGTTTGATGCAGTCAGTCAGAGATGAGGAGGTAACCCTCCTGTTCGACTGTGCCTTCAGCCACTCCTACCCTGTGGTCCCTCATCCCAAACCTGCCCACCCCACCGCCCCGACTCCCCACCCCCCCACCCACGCTCGGGTCCTGATCCCTAACTGTTGAGTGCCTTGGAATGTCCTCCTGACGTGAAAGGCACTTCACAAATGTAGTTTTATTGTTGTTATTGATGTTGTCTTGGTGTTGTGGGTGGGACATAAACCAGATTGGAGCACTATATAGTGCATTGGGGGAAAGACAGGAGCAAACCTGAGGCCACAACATGTATATAATTATAGGTTTAGTCAGACTCCCATTGCTTGACTCCCTTGGGTTTCTCCCCTGTGTGATTCCGTCCCAGGTTACAACTCGAGGTGTTCAGGAAATATTTTGGATGATACCCCACTGATCTACCCACTCTTTTTATAAACGATATATAGCTTTAATCTTTTAAGATTAAATGCTCAGAGTCCAAGAATAATTGACAATTCCACTCTTCATAAAATGAAATTCCTGCTTGTTTAGCAACAAATTTAACATTACACTATTACACGTGGAGTCCTGTAGCTCAGTGGTTAGAGCACTCGCTTTGCAAGCGAGAGACCTGAGTTCAATTCCAGGCAGAGGGCGAAACCTTGGGCAAGTTTCCTTACTCCACACAGAGCCTAATAATAATCCCTCCAAAACCAAAAAACAATAATAATAAACATTGGTCATTTTCAATCTACAACTGTTTGTGGGACATTGCTGTGCGCAATTGGCTGCCGCGTTCGCCCACAAATATACAGTCAATTCACTTTACAGTGTGTTCTGTGAAGCGCTTTGGGACGTCCTCCCGACGTGAAAAGCGCTGTATCAAATGCAAGGATTATTATTATTATTATAAGGTCACACCTGTGACTCAGTCAGGAAAGGAGGAGTGCGTGGGGTGGTGTTGTGCTGAAGGGTGGCACACCCTGATTTTCGCATACCAACGTTGCATAACGCCGCTGGGAGATGCCGTGCACCGCTGGAATACTTCTGCACCAAACTCGGGCAAACCTCAGCCCACAGACGCCCACTGCCGCACAGAGCCGACCTGCGGCCGCTCGGGCGCGGCTGCTGCCGTCACTGCCTCCTGTGACGCAAGTGGAGCGGTCTCCTCCCCCGGCCCAACCCCTCCCGACGTTCCTGTTTGTGACGTAGGCGGTGTGCGCAGTGCAGCGGTGCGCAGGCGGCTCGAGCCTTCCCCAGCAGTGAGCTCGCACTCGCTCACTCGCTCTCCGTCGGCCCCCGATCAGCGACTGCTCCTATCTCCCTCCCCCCCCCCCCCCCCTCCTCGCTTATTTGGGTTAGAAACGAGAATCTTTCCTGACAAACGAACCTCACTGTAGTCGTTGAGGTGAGTTACGTTTCCGTTTTGTTTTATTCCGCGGGGCGAGCGCTGCGCGCGGGGTGTGGGGGAAAGCGAAAGCGGCTGTTGGCGGCGGTGCGGGTAAACAGAAGCAGTGGCGGCCGCTCGCTCGCCTCCCGCCCGCCCGCCTCACCCCTGTGTGTGGATGGACACAGCCGCCCGCCTCACCCCTGTGTGTGTGTGTGTGTGAGCGGAGCGGAGCGCCGCCCCCGGGACTCCTGCGGTCGGCGGTTTAACAGCGGAGCGAGGCGGCCGGCGGCATCCGGGCACTTGTGCGGGTGCCTGTGAGTGAAGCCTCAGGGTGGGGGGGTGCAGGTGGGGGGGTGTGGGGAGTCAGGGTGGGGGGGTGTCAGGGTGGGGGTGTCAGGGTGGGGGGGGGTGTCAGGGTGGGGGTGTCAGGGTGGGGGGGGGGTGGGGGTGTCAGGGTGGGGGGGTTGGGGTGTCAGGGTGGGGGTCAGGGTGGGGGGGGTCAGGGTGGGGGGGGTCGGGGTGGGGGTGTCAGGGTGGGGGGTGTCAGGGTGGGGGGGGTGTCAGGGTGGGGGGTGTCAGGGTGGGGTTGGGGTGTCAGGGGTGGGGTGTCAGGGTGGGGGGGGTGGGGGTGTCAGGGTGGGGGGGGTTGGGGTGTCAGGGTGGGGGTGTCAGGGTGGGGGGTCAGGGTGGGGGGGTCAGGGTGGGGGTGTCAGGGTGGGGGGTGTCAGGGTGGGGGGTCAGGGTGGGGGGGTGTCAGGGTGGGGGTCAGGGTGGGGGTCAGGGTGGGGGTCAGGGTGGGGGTGTGGGTGGGGGGGGTGGGGGTCAGGGTGGGGGGGGTCAGGGTGGGGGGGTCAGGGTGGGGGGTCAGGGTGGGGGGGTGTCAGGGTGGGGGGTGTCAGGGTGGGGGGGGGTTGGGGGGTCAGGGTGGGGGGTCAGGGTGGGGGGGTCAGGGTGGGGGGGTCAGGGGGGGGGTTCAGGGGGGGGTGTCAGGGTGGGGGGGTTGGGGTGTCAGGGTGGGGGTGTCAGGGTGGGGGTGTCACGGTGGGGGGGGTGTCAGGGTCAGGGAGTGTCAGGGTGGGGGGGGTGTCAGGGTGGGGGGTGTCAGGGTGGGGGGGGTCAGGGTGGGGGGGTCGGGGTGGGGGGGGGTCAGGGTGGGGGGGGGTCAGGGTGGGGGTGTCCCTGTGACGGCCCAGTGTGCCGGTGTGTTACCGGGGTAACCGCCCCCCCCGCCCCGCGCGGGGCCCCG